AGAGGGAACACAAGCAGGGGGAGTGGGAGAGGGAGAAGCAGGCTTCCCGTGGAGCAGGGAGCCCGATGCGGGGCTCGATCCCAGGACCCTGGGATCATGACCTGAGCCTAAGGCAGACGCTTAACGACTGAGGCACCCAGGCGCCCCTATTACTATGTTTAGAAGCGTTTTCTGGCTCTCCTTGTGTGGACTAAAACACATGCTCTTAGGTTTACATTGCTGAGTTCAGGACATGATTTAACAAAGTAATAATTTCAGCTTGAATATTCTTGGTCCTTTATTTCCGTCTTCTTGTCAGATGTCTGTTTTTTACCTATCTTTTTTAACTGCGTGGTGTAGTATGCTTGCAGAAGAGTGCATAGTATTTATGTCAAGTACAAATAATTATAAATAAGAACCTCTATAAACATCAGTGGAGAGCAGAAATAGAACAGTGCCAGCACCCCAGAGACCCCGTGTGACCCTCACATCCCTACCCAACTGTTATGAAAAACATTATTCCCATCAGTTCCTCCCTTCTCTTTATAGTTTATCATCTATCTATGTAGCCCTAAGCAGTATATTTTAGGCTTCTAGCAAAATGCTCTCTAGAATTGACTAAGGAGTCGTATTCTGTGATCTTATATATAAAATGTCTGGATGTACATTAAACTTCATTTGAACCCATGAAACGTGAGAAACAGAAAAATGTGTCCACGTAGAAAATGTAGCCTGTCTCCTGAAATCACAGGAGTAAATTTTAACGAGGGGATATTGGTCCTTTACCTTTTCAAGGAGCAGAGAGGAGCCTCCTTTCTTTTCAGGAGTATTTTTTACCTAAAGAGCAAAATAATATATTGACTTGGAAACGAGGTACCTGCTTCGTAGGTTATCCCTGCAGCCCTCAGCAGAAGCCACCGCAGGTAGGGGTGTCTGTGTCAAAACGAGGTTGTAGAACCTCGGTGGTGGGCACAAAGGTGTTCCCTGAGTGGTTCTGTCCCCTTTCCTGCTACCTTGAAAATTGTTACAACAAAATATTGAGGCAGAATCACAGAATAAGAAAACATCTGTTTATTTTATTTTATTATTATTATTTTTAAGATTTTACTTATTTAATTGAGAGAGAGCAAGTATGAGCAGGTGGAGGGGAGAGGCATGGGAGAGGGAGAAGCAGGCTCCCCACTGAGCAGGGAACCCAATGCAGGGCTTGATCCCAGGACTCTGGGATCCTGACCTGAGCTGAAGCCAGACGCGTAACTGACTGAGCCGGCTAGAAGCCCTGAAAACGTCTGTTTCTGCTCTGGGAGAATCCGCTTAAGAAATTAAGAAATCTGTATTTTTTTCTGTCCATAGCATTCATGATCTGTTTCTAAGATTTAAACATTTAGCTGAGGATTTGGGTATTCTTCAATTTTTGTCTTCTTCACTTTCAGTTTTTCTTTAACATCAGCACCGATGACCAAGAAGGCCTCTACAGTCTTTATTTCCATAAATGCTCTGGGAATGAAGTGCCGTCTGGCGACAAGTTTTCCTTCAGCCTGGATGTGAGTACCGTATGGAAGGTGTTCCACGCAGATTTTGTCAGCCTTATAAAATGTGAGACATTTATTTCATTATAAGAGTAGGTTTTAACAACACTTCAACAGAGTAGGAGAAAAATGTGGCCAGAATCCCATTTCTGCAGAGGATTCACAAACAAAAAAATACAAAGCAGTTTGGGATGTTTTTACACTTTGAACTGTGCATTAGAATGAATGTGTTTATCTGCTGATACTTCCTTAGCCAAGTGAAGCGGCTAAGGTGACAGATTGCTGACTATGGGATGATCTGTTCCTGAAAAGTAAACATTAATTTTATGTTTGTTTTAGATTGAGATCACAGAGAAGAACCCTGACAGCTACCTGTCCGCAGGAGAGATCCCTCTCCCTAAATTATACATTTCTATGGCCTTTTTCTTTTTCCTTTCTGGGACCATCTGGATTCACATCCTTCGAAAACGACAGTGAGTTGTTACTTCCCTGAGCCATCCAGCTTAGAGTGTGTTGAGAGGTGCATAATTTCACCTTTTGCTGCTTTCTTAGCCCCAGAGGGATTGGCACTAGCAACCTTGTCCTCTTCTTCAAAGGGCATCTTCCCTGAAACAGGGAGACTCTGCATGCCTTGCTGTTTGTTTACTTCCCTTTGCTTTATTTAAAAAGCAAATCCAAATATGTTAATAATAGGCAGGCAAAACAAAATGTATAAGCAAGTGTTTCCCTAGTGAAGACAGTACAGTCCAGGACTCAGAGTGAGCCCGTTGATCCCATTCAGGGGCTGTTTGTGAGAGGAGGTTAGTGACAGTGACCCACTACCTGCTGAGAGGATGGCATTACTGCTCAGTACTGAAGGTGTCTGCTCAGGGCCTGACGGGGAGAGCTATTGGCTTCCAGAGGCTTGTCACTGGAGAGAACTTACTCAGAGCCCACCTACCTGGCTCTTGGCCTCTCTTCTGAAACCCGAAGGCTTTACCTGCCTGTACTCATTTCTTGAAGGGAGCACCTACATGTGGACGGGGCGAGTGTTTAAATCTGTCTCCTTCCGGGGTGCCTGGGTGGCTCAGTTGGTTAAGCGACTGCCTTTGGCTCAGGTCATGATCCTGGATCCCTGGATCGAGTCCCGTGTCGGGCTCCCTGCTCAGGGGGGAGTCTGCTTCTCCCTCTGACCCTCCCCCCTCTCATGTGCTCTCTCTCTCTCTCTCTCATTCCTGCTCTCTCAAATAAATAAATTAATTAAATCTTTAAAAAAAAATAAATCTGTCTCCTTCCAACCAAAAAACTGAGAATAAAATAACTAATTTTCAGTTAGAGAATAGTGTGAAGTATTTGTTTTAAGCCCATAAATGAAATGATGGATATGAATATGGGATTGTAATGTGGATTAATTTAAATTCATAAAATAATTAAGCACCCCAAATACCTCTTTCTGTGGAGCATTGGGCAGAAATTGAGACCTCTCTCTAGTCCCCGGTGGCCTGACTCTCTTCTGGTAGACACACTCAGCTGGAGTAGTGAGCTCTGGTGGGGACAGCGCTGGTTGCTATTTGTCATAAGATTCACTCTGCTCACCAGATGGAAAGAGCCGCTTGTTTACTTGTGAAGGACCCTGCATGGTCATGTTTGGAGTAGGCAGTCAGGCAGCCTTTAGTAAGAAAAGAAGAATCTTACCAATTCAGGCTATAAAAAGGTTTTTAAATAAAGTTTTGCTTCTGCCTTTAGTAGAAAAGTAAGAAGTGGGAGTCAGAGGCCCAATTCCAAGTATAAACATGGACTATTCCCACCTGTGTGTCTCGCTTCACTCCCTGAGCCACAAAACTGCGACAGGGTCATTGCCCTGCTTTCCTCTAAGAGTCTTAGAACCTTAGGTGTGTTATGTGATTGCCCCTGAGATAATGTGGTCTAGAGGGCTTTGCAAATCAGGGTGCTATGCAAATCGGAGGTACATACAAAATAGTTGACCAGGCAGGTGTTCAATGGTATTTTAGTTTCCGTGTATTTAGTGATGCAGTAGTCATTATCACTGGTTCACCTACCTAAAACTGTGGGAAGTTTTAAATCTGTGGTTCAGTGAGCCCCACCTACTTTGTGCAGCACGTGTTTAGCTTCTCTTTAAAGTGCAGGGTACACACAGGGATGTGTAATGTAAGCCTTCCGCCCCATCCCCATGTTTTTCCAGGAGACTTACAGACAGTTCTGTTGGGTTGGAAATTTGAGCCACACAAAGGATGTGACTCCAAGGCTTTGTGCATTTCAGAGGCTTGCAGTCCCTTAGAGCTGGAAGGAACTGGAGATCTTTGCCTCGTCTTGTGGAGGTCTTGAGAGGAGAAATGAGAGACATGGTTAGTAGCACCTGCCACAGCTGGGAGCGGAATCCACATCTACTTGCCGTGCATATGCGGCTCCTCGCTCCTCTCAGTTCTGTCCCGGGCCCCCGAGTGTGGGGAGGGGAAGGCAGCCGACCGTTTTTTGGTGCCTGCTCCTTGTCCCGTCAAGCACTTGATGCTGGTTTTTTCTGCTAATCATCCAGCTGCTCCTTGAGGCAGGCATTGCCCCATTTTAGAAGAGGTTACTACGGCTTAGAGGGGTTAAGGTTGCCAGGGTAGAACCAGTATTCGAGCCAAGTTGCTGTGGCTTTGGAGCGTGTGTTCATCCCAAACATCACTGCCCCATGGCTGATCTTTCAGCTGGGACTGCAAGCTGAGTGTGCCGGAGCGTGTGAGTGAGCACCAGTTCTGCACTCTGGGTACATCTCATTGCTGTTCAAGAGTGACAGACTCCTCTGGCCTTGACTTCCTTTTTGACCTTCAAGTAGGTAGGCCCCAGACAGGAAAGTACCAGGGAGGAAATCGGCCCGGAAAGGGAGTGTGCGTCAGTTTGTGACACGCCCGCCTTATCATTCCGTGCAAGGCCCCTCTTCTTCATTTCCCCTTCATTTCCTACCCCTCGCTCATGCTTTTCCCAGTTACTCAGATGCAGGTAATAGGTGTTATTGAGCATGCGTGTATTCTTATAAATAGCTAATGTTTATTGATATTGCATGTATTTTTAACTTCTATAAACTCTACTATCTACAGATGCTGTTCTCTTTTTTCACGCAATAGTATCTTTCTTAAGACCTAGTCACATTGCTGTGTGTCTGTCTAGTTCATTAATTTTTAGCTACTCAATAGTGCGCATCCCCACATTCTACTTATCCATCCCTTTAGTGAGGGACCCCATCCCCTGGCTCCCCCAAACAGTGTTGCCATGATGCCCCCCTCCACCCTGGCCTTGTCCCTTTATGTCTGTGCAGCGTCGGGGGTGGGGGCGGGGTACACTCCCAGAAACAGGTGCACTGGGTATGGGGTAAATTCGTATTTAATATCATTAAGTGCTGCCAGATTGCCTGTGCTAGATTATACTTCTACCAGTGGTGCAGAAGGGTTCCTGTTTCCCCGTCCACCAACACTGACATCTTGTTTTTTGCCAGTCTGTTGGGTGTGAACTGGTACTTCATTTTATTTTGCATTTTCCTAAATACTAATGATGTGAAATATCTTTCTAGGGACTTGTTAACCATTTGGGTTCCCCCTCTTGTGAGTACCTTTAGGCTTCGCACATTTTTCTGTTGGGTTTTCTGTCATTTTCTTGTCGCTTTACAGGAGTTTCTTGCATATTTTTTGTATCAGTCCTTTGTCTGTCTTAGACATTGCAAATTTTTTCTCCCAGACTGTTAAACTTGTCTATGGTATTCATTGTTGAATGAAAGTCTTTCATATTAACAAGAATCAGAGATCTCTAATTTTAGTCTTTTGGGCAGTGCTTCTTGGAAGAAGCCTTTCCCTACTACAAGATCACAAAAGATGTATGTTATATTTAGCACTGGAATCCATCTGGAGTCCCCCCCCCCCTTTTTTTTTAAAGATTTTATTTATTTATTAGAGAGAGAGAGCAAGAGCAGGAACACAAGCAGGGGGAGTAGGAGAGGGAGAAGCAGGCTTCCCGCGGAGCAGGGAGCCTGACGTGGGGCTCGATCCCAGGACCCTGGGGCCATGACCCGAGCTGAAGGCAGACACCCAACAACCCGGAGTCCCCCTTTATGTAAATGTGAAGTAGGGACACAGCAGTGTGTGTGTATATATATACACACAGTTCTGAGCT